CCAAAGACCTTCCCTCTTCGTGTCAGCAATGTTGATGGTGCAAAGCATATTTGAAAAACGTATGCTTTCTCGCGCAGTTACGCTATGATGGCAACTTCCATAGATTACGGTTGGCCAAAGAGCTCTACTGGCCAACGAGCTCTGCTGTCTCCGCATCCTGTTCACTGCGATGTAAACCAACCAAGTTTGCGACGGTCTGCACTGCCGCATCATGGGGGTACGGCAGCCTGTGGAACGAGCCGTGTTACAGGTACATGAGTAGACGCTCATGTACCGTGTGTGTGTGTGTGTGTGTGTGCTTGGGGGGAAGAAGGGGCGAAGGGTGGCTGTGAACAAGGTGGGTGGATGGGTTGGGAAGAGAGAGGGTGCTTGTGTGTGCGTGCGTGTGTCTGTGTGTGTGTGTAAAAGGTGGGGAGGACAGGATAACTCAAGGAGAAGGGGCCTCTTGTGATGAAAGCATGAATGACTTGCGCACCCTAATCGGGACGTGTGCTAGGGAGATGTTCGGCGTCGCACGGGTAAAAAGGTGAATTTTGTGAAGCGTGACTGGTGGAACGAGGACTGTGCCGCTGCATGGAATGATATGATGAGTTTCCGTAAGGAGATCAGGGACTCCGCCTCGGGCAAGCTGCCGGACATTCATAGGGCTACCTGGAAGGCCAAGCACCGTGTCTTTAAGGAGGCTACTAGGAAGGCCGCTATTCAGGAGACCGAAATGGAAAATATGCGGAGGAGGATTAAGGCCACCCTGTCCAACCCACGCGGCTTGTGGACATGGCTGCGTGGGGGAAAACCGCCTGATTGCTGGATCTCAGATATTAATGCTTTTACCGAGCATTTTTCCAAGGTGCTTAATGGTGCGGGAAACGCGAGGCAAGGCTGCAACGAGGGTATCCAGTTTAAATGGCAGGATGAGGACCGGGTGATGCACCGACAGGAATTAGTTGCTTGGCTTAACAAGGATTTTACGGAGGGCGAAATTGTTAGCGGTCTCAAGGCTATGCGCAACATAGCCTGTCCGCGGGCCTGGAGGGAACCCCGGCCGAGTATTATAGGTACGCTATCAGGGAGAGTGAAGGGCAGCGGCCAGTGTTTGTGTTGGCGCCTTACTTAACGGTGCTATGCAACCGCATATACGGAGCTGATTATTCGCGAGCTGATTATTCACGACTAGCACCGTTTTCCCCTATACAAAAAGGGGGACGCGTCCTGCTGCGACAGTTATGGGGGCATTG